CATTACATAGCCAGGCTCAGCAACACCACAATACTTGTCCGCTTGTCCGAGTAGCAAAAACTCTGGACAGAAATATTTAAATGTTCAGATAATGTTCAGCATTTAAATGTTCAGCTAAAATTTAGGGGTTCAGCTAGTCTCACAAGCCAGACTTCTGCAGGGCAGAGCAGACCTCCAGGGAATCCAGTACTTTTCATTGCCTACCTTGTAAGGAAGAGGCTGTTTGACCGACATGCAAAATGATCAGTCATAGCTCACTGTTTTGGAGCGACATGTAGGAGGGTGTAATTGTGAAAATCTCATGAATATCTTTCTTGCTCTGAGAGGCTGTTTTTTGTCACAATACTCAGTTCAGGCAGCTGTTTGCTATTTCTGACTAGAATTTAGCTGGACAAACAAAACTTTCCGGTCTGAAAAATAAAAAATGCTGCACTGAAACTGTTAATGTTTTAGTCGTGGGCCTCTTAACAGCACTGTCACGCATGCATCTCTGACTGGTCAGAGTTAACTGAGGTGAAATCTCCACAGGCAGGCAGCACTAGAGGAGGTGCCCAAAACTCCAGAAACCCAGGCTGACCCACCAGCTACTTCTGTAGATCTCAGACAATGACAAAGACCAAATAAAATACAATTATTATACGATAATTATACAAGGACACTTGTACAGTATGAGGAAAAAAGGCCTGCTATGGAGTCCGTCTGTGAGTGTACCAGCTCCTGAATGGGATTTGGTCATCTAGACATTATTATTAAACAAACAAAAAATGGAAAAAGGATGTGCCCCTCGATGCCCCACAACACAGGAACAACGTTCCACTGACCGATTAGACATAACATCATGCCATGTTTGGAAAAACAAAAATGTTCTGTTAAATAAGACCTTATTAAGACTTTGATGAAGATCAGACTGCATTTTAAGAGATATTCATGTAGAACTCCAGATCATTTCTAAGCTTTTTCAACTTTTTTAAAAAAATAAACAAAGATGTGTATGATGTTTCCTTCCACTACTTTGCTCAATAAGAAATTGATCAAAAAAAAAGAAAATGTTTTTGTCAGACTGTGGGGTCTTGGAAACATCAAGTGAAAAATGGAGGCTAAAATTACATGAAAAGCATCCTGACAAATTGCAGATAATAACACATCTAAACTATATTTGTACGTGAACATAAGATATACTACATGGCCCACAGAATCAAAATGTTCCCTAAATATGATCTGTGGCATTATGGTAAGGCTATTTTTAGCCCTTCCCAAAAAAGTAAATTGTTCTTTTGCTTTGTGTCATTGCTCCAGCCTCTTTTCCTCTAACCCAAATCTCTGACACGTAATCAATAGCTGGAAGCATTTTTTCTCCTGGCATGTATTCCTCTCGCCAGAAAATTAGCTGCTCGCACAGTGTCCCCGTCCACAAGGCGAAGAGAATTAATCATGCTGTGCACACTACGAAGATGGAAAGGAGCGAGTTAATATGAATAAAACTATACCTCACTGAAACTGTTAATTACCACCTTCACTGTCACTCACTGTGCTGCTCTATGTGTTTTGCAATCACTGTTAATTTACCTTTAACTAATCACCATTAATATTCAAGCATTACGCCCTGGCACATCAACTGCTGACAGGTACCCTCCAGGATTACTGGCACCTTTAGCCAGACGAGCAAACAGTCTTTGTTGTATCTGTAACTGAAAACAAAACAGGAGCACAACCTCAAAAGGAAAAAAAAGTCATATTTTTCTCAAAAACACTTCACAATTATTGGCACCCCTGCACCCCTGTGACACTTTGTTGGACCTTCTTTTGCCAAGCACTGAATGTTCTATTATAATGCTGGATAGGGTGGGAGAATAGAACAGAAGGAAACGGAGACCATTCCTCCACACTGTCTTCAGATCCTTAAGAGACCTGGGTCCAGGCTTGTGATCTGTCATGTTCAGCTCATCCCATATTGTTTCATTTCATTTTGTTTTAGATTTTTATAGTTCCAACCAAGACCCTGTCTTCCTCCTGGAGGAGGCAGCCAGATTTTGATATAAAATCCCCCGGTACTTGACAAAGTCCATATGCAACATATCCTAACATGATTCCCAGGGTCTTGTCAGGGAATGAAAACTGCCCGACAGCATCAAGCATCCACCACCATACGTCTCTGAAAGTATGAGGTTAATTTCTGTATGACCTTGAGTCTTAATACAGCAAACCCACCTCTGGTACTTGCTACCAAATAGCTCTATTTCTGTCTCATCTAACTATGGGATCCAGTTCTAGGCAATTTTGTTGTTTGATGACAGCAGATTTTTCTTCTGACAAAATCTCTAAGTAGTTCATTAGCATTGAGGTGGTGACTATAGTTTTGGATGTATGCAGCTCTGTAATTGTCCATCTGTATAAGAAAGGTTTGCCTCCTGAATGTTCATTAAACCTTATTTTCTTTACAACTTTTTTGTTTAAAGCTTCATTTGTCTTTCTATGCACTGCCCTAAAACAGGAGATGGACATTTCCAGGTGTGAAGCTATTTTTATAGCCATTGCCTGATTTATGAAGGTCAAAAACAATTTTGTCCCTTTTCATTTGTGTATTCAGTGATCTTTCTCATGCTGATGGATGACTAAGGGGGGGTTGGCCTTTGTGTCACCTCATATTTATACCCTGGTGAAAAAAGAAGGCATAAGTGGCCACTTAAGGGTTCCGAAAGATTTCAGTGTGCTTAAAGACAAAAATATGTGTATAACAACTAGATTTTGTTTTTGAGAATGTCTAGGATACCAATAATTGTGATGAATGCATACTTGAGAAAACTGAAGATTAGATTTCATATATTTTAGTGTAAGATTACACTGTGAAAAAAAGCAAACGTCATGTCTTTCCATGTCTTTGCCAATAATTCTGAAGGCACTTAATATAGTACTGTGTGGAATTCAGAGTCCATTCCTCCATTTATTTAATTTCCAGTCAAAATGACTATTAAGTAAAAGGTATAATTTTTTTTATTCTAAGAGGATGAGATATAAGATAATCCACATTTATAAGAAAGGGGAAAGCCAAAGAATAACAAGTGAAAAAAAAGGAGTTTTCAAAACTGGAGTTCAACACCTGGCAGACCACCAAAACTCTCACCATCAAATTTTTGACACACATGGCATTCGTGTGTGAGTATTATATTTATGACAAGTATGGTTGTTTGTGTGTGTGTGTGTGTGTGTGTGTGTGTGTGTGTGTGTGTTTGTGTATGTGGACGGTATGCATTAACCCAAATTGAATAGACCATCGTCTGCTGGACCTGTTGATGACTGGAATCCTGCAAACAAGGGCAAACGAAGAGAGGGAAGAGAGAAAAGAGAGAAAAGAGAGGGAAGAGACAGCATTAGAATGACAGACAACATTGAAGAAACAAGATGGAAAATAAGCGCCAATGATCAATAGCGTCTATTTGCTTGAGTACTATAAGTAACAGAAGGAGGTACTTCGGGCGGGAGGGAGAAGGGGTGGGAGAAGAGAAAGCAGAATGGGTGGGAGAAAGAGAGAGAGGGAGTGAGAGAGAGAGAGAGACAGACGCAGGATAAATCCTTACCACATAATGATTACGGCTCACAAGCCTTTGCTCTGACATGGAGTGCAGGAGGAGGCAGGATTACAACTGGACGCAGTAATCCCGAGGCCAGGACTGCACACTACAACTACAACTACAAATACAACTACAATGACCATCTCCATCTACAACTAACAGCAAGTGGAGTGACTAAAAAAGGACCTGAACTCAACTGCACAGATTTGATTATCCTCAGAAAAACTCTGTGTAAAGACAGAAAACTAAGGTTCCTCTACAAAGGAAAACACAAAGCCCATCACCGGTCAGGAGCTGCACCCTACAACAAGAAAACAAGAGGTGTCGGGCCGTGCCATCTGTCTGCCACTCTCCACGCCCTGCCTGCATCTGGAGCCACCTCTGTACTGCTTTAATGGAGGGGGGACGCTGGACACGTGAGGGGAGAACAGGTGAACGAGGCAAACCAGAGGTTCAGGCTCTTCCACAGACTAACTGAAAATCTTCACTAACTGCTCAGAGACACCTCAGGTTTCTTTACTGGCACTCGTCCGAGGTTCAGCCACTTTCACACGGGACTACAGAGGATAAATCTTAGTGCTTGAAAAGATGTATTAATACCTGATGTTGGTGATCTTTCGTAAAGATTTTGAGGTACTTTTTGGACTTCGCTTGGACACAGATGCCTATATGACCCAGGAGGTGAGGAAATCCCTCAAAACACTTTTGTACCAATTCATTCATACTCGAATGCTAAATACAAACACAAATGCTAAAAAACAGCTACTCTTTGCACTATATACTAGGTAAACAAAATATATTAACAATAAAAAACATGATTAAAATATAGGTGCCAAAAATGGGCTCTTTGGAGTGATGCCATAGAAGAATCACGTGTGGTTCCTCCAAGAACCTTTTCGACGGCTCAGTTTTGTAAATTAGATAAAGAACCTAATTTAAAGTTTAAAGAACCTTCACATTATGCAAAGGCTCAGTACCAGTGAAAGGTTCTTCCAACCTAAAAAAAACATGCAGGAACCTTTATTTTTTAATTCACACACAAATATAAACACACATGGATAGCTTGTTGTCCTCCGAGATATAGATTTCTATGTATAATCATTTACCCCATCTTTCTCTTTCCCTGACTTTCCCTCTATCTCCCTCCTCCCATCTCCTCCCTCTCCTCCCTCCCCTCACAGAGCAAGATGATGTGACCTTCTGCCAAACTGCTCGAAACCATGCCACCGACACAGCGGGCTCCAGTGTCCACACTGAAATAGGCTCAAACAAGTGCGGACTGGAGAGAGCGAGCGAGTGAGCAGTGCAGAGAGACAGAGAGGGGAGAGAGAGTGAGAGTGAGAGAGATAGAGAGAGGGAGGGAGGGAGAGAGAGAGAGAGAGAGAGAGAGAGGGAGAGAGAGAGAGAGAGAGAGGGGAAAAAAAGAAAAAGAAAGAGGACGTTGGAGTGTGAAGGAGGAATGTGCTGTCAGGAGCCTGGGCTGGATGCGGTTTGCCGTCGCAGGTAACTACCAGATCACCTTACTTTCTTCTGCTGGGACGTGTTAACAGTTAACTGTTTTTAGCGCAAACTGTAAACTGTTGTTAGCATGTGTGTTTGTATTCGTGGTGGCAGATGTGTCAGATTTTTAGACGTGGGTCATATTGCTGTGAGTTGAGTGCAGTGACAGAGCTGTGCTTGTGCTCGTATGAGTGCATGGTGCTGAAATTGTCCCGCTGTTGTGTAAAACAGGTGCTATATCTGTGTAAGTTCATCCACAGGTAGGACACTTGCTGGGACAGGCTCCCTATCAGTTTTCAGTTTGAGGTGAAATGAAGCATGAGCCCTACACAACTATTCTAAGAGAGATGTTAGTAGCCTTTATGTGTCTGTATTTGACTGAAGTGGCATGAGTCTCTAGCCTGAAACATGTCAATATACCCCTCCACTCTGCTGTGATAAAGTTCCAGCTCCAGAGTAATGTAATCTCTGACTCCAGCATTTGTAGCATATGATTGATTACCATAAACGTATTCCCAGTACTTTTTGACTCAAAATGCACTGGAAGTCAATGGGAAGGTGTTTAGGCAACTGCCCACTGATATCTATTCTAAGTGTATTTCAAATACATAGGTTTTCAGTTTGTTTGTAAACACAAAAAACCCATCAACATTAATGTCCTTGGTGATCAACCATATTCTACCAATGCTTACAATGGTGTTTATGTTGAACAACACTGGAGTATTCCTTTAAAAACACTGTCCTGGGACGCTGAGGGAAATGGGCTGGCCTGTCACTGAGAAGTGAGCTGGGCTCCTCAGAGAGCAAGGCAGTAACAGCCCGCAGTAATTACTGCTGGGTCCAGTTATTACTCTAGCCAGGGCGCATACTGATGCATTTAGCATTCGGCCCATTGTGGAACGGGAAAGCGCGCGCTACGCTCTACCTGAGGCTGCTGCTTACTATGGGTGAAAGCACTTTACTGCCTTCTAAAAAGAACTGGACAAATGAGGTGGGATGAGATGAAGAGAAAAAGATGGAATGAAAGGCAATGAACAATGTGGCAATGAAAGAAAGAAAAGAAAGAAAGAAAGAAAGAAAGAAAGAAAGAAAGGATGAGTAGACTACAATCACTGGGCCTAAAAAAAGGCTTAAACAAAATTTCAAGGAGAAAGAAAATATTACATTTTGATATTAAGACCTTGCTAAAACGTTTCCAACGTAATGAACACGATGTTCCACACCATTAGCCCAGGCATTTCTCATTTCATTGTTATTAGCTAAGGATCATAGATGGCTTGGCCTATAGTACTGTAAAATAACCCAAGGTCACATGAAAGGCTTGGACAACAGTAAGAAGTTAAGGTCAAAATATATATTTCAGAGATTTTCTCGGGTCTAGTGTATATTGTGTATGACTCGGTACAGTCAGTCATACTATAATTTTGTAGAGCTTTATGGCAGTTCTGGGCCAATTTCTGTAAGCCTTTCAGAAACTGCACCACTCTCCCACCACCAGACACACACATACACACACACACACAATTTTTCCCTCCTTTCTTCTTTAAGTCACCCATCATCTACCTTACCTGGCCATTATTCATGGTAACTGCTTTTTTTCCCCCAAAAATTGCAATTTCGTCACAGATGAAAATGAGCAAAAGCTTCTTTTCTCAGCACAAAATGCATTTTTTCTGCTAGCAAAGTCCCGAGTACGCTGTGTCAAGTGTGGCCAGCACAGTTACAGCAAAAGGCCACTAGAGAAGAAAAACGTTTACCAACAATGGCAGAGTACCTGTAGCTGTATAAACAGCTGTAGCAAAACTCTGGGCACTTGTGTTCACAATGTGTTCAGTGTAGATGGAAAAGCACTCTAAACTGGCAAGACACTAAGTTTAACAGCTATATTAGCTGCACAATATACTGTTTGGTAACTTTGATATGGGTCGTTTGCAGAAGGCTTCAATATGCAAATGAGGCCTCTAACAAATCACATTGTTTGTTACAAGTGATATGAGAACACTCAGCCCAGAATTTGATTCGGTTCTGTATTCTCATAATATTTTAAACAAAATCTGAATGAAGGAAAATGACGTCATGTTGTTGCACAACTTACTAATGAACATGCTGGTGTGGTGTGGGTGATTGCTACTGGTTGTTTATGAAGTTTGGTGCTCAAATAATGCAACTGTATTCAATTCCATTCTTAATAAAATGCCTATTCTCAACAATGAATAACTGCACCTCCACTATGCACACTGTCACAATGGTGCATCACAATATTACAATGTCAGACAAAACAAGTTCCTGTAATCCAACAAAAGTAAATGATTTTGGTCAAATGCAGGCAAATCTTCAACAATGTCAATGCATTATTAATATAGAGTACATTCTTAAAAATATTCAACTCGGTTCTTTAATAAACACAATCGTTCTATGAACACTCAAAGAAACCATTAGAATGCGTAAATGGTTCTTTGAATGGTCAAATGGTTCTTCTCTATGATGGAAAGCCAGCTGTATATGGTTCTTTAAAGAACCCTTTTTTAAATGGTTGTATATAGCACCAAAGCATCAAAGAACATGTAGAGTGTCCTTAACTAGAGAAATAATTTTTCTTTTTGTTTTACAGGTTAAAATTGATAACGATGTCACACAATATGTGTTAAACGTGAGAAAAGAAAAAGAGTGCTGTTAATTAACTTTGATTTATTTATTTTTTTAGATTACAGTGTTTTGTCCATATCATGCAGCTTCAGTGTGGCTGATTCACTGTGTCAGTAAGCAGGTTAAAGTGATTGAGGCAGTTATGCTGAGTGTGTGGTACACAACAGTGTAGGTCAGTAAAGAGTTAAGCAGAGAGGCTGACCGGCTCAGTGGTGACTGCGCTCCGTGTGAGGACAGAACAGATGCATTGATCCCTGGGTATGTTGGCTCCACACGGCAAAGACCGGTCCACCACACAGCAGGGCGGTTTTACACACACACACACACACACACACACACACACACACTCTCTCATTTGCAAACACATGCATGCATGCATGCTTGCAGATGCGCATGCATGCACAATTCTATACACACATTGAAAGAATCTGAAGAAATAAATGTGATGTTATTGGCTCATGAAATCGCATCTGTTATGACTTCATGATTAAATACATCACTTAATTTCACAACACTTTAGTGTAAAGGTTTTTACACACCGAGCATCATTTATTTGGACATCAATAAATGAATTCAAACATACGTATAACTGATGATGTCTTGCACACCAAAGTCAGTTTTTCAGACAGCGAAAAAGCCACATTATTTTATTTTGCCAACTTTTGCGGGGACATGAACTCATTCACCAATTATGGTTGTCTCTGGCGTTGGCATAGCAACAACTAAGATGATGGAATGCACAAGAACTTTTATGACAGAGGGATTAGTCTGTCTTTTGCTTTTTCATGTGAGGTGTTAGCATCTCCAAAATCAGCTCAAACTGGGTTATGGAGACCTGAGCTGTATGCAAAAGCACTCAAAGTTTCAGCTCCTGAGTAAACTGATGAATCTCCCTGGTCACATTTCAGCTTTGTTAGTTTTTGTTGACTATGCAAAAAATGACAAAATGATGTGTATAGTTTTGCGGATGTGTCAGCAAAATACTTTGCATTTTTATTGTTGTTTATTATGTTCATATTCAGTGCCGGCTCACCCTAATAAGTCACATAAGCAGCTGCGTATGGCACCGTGGCCACCAGGGGCCCCCTACAAACTTCTGGGTTATTCCTAGTGGAAAATTAACCTTACTTAGTGACCTTGTCTACGATGTCTTCTTCATTGTACTTTTCTTTGTTCAAAACTTTTCAAGATTCTAAAACTTTCTGTTGTTTATTTCCAGATTTTCAGTGTGGTCTCAGACTTTGGACACCACTGTTTGTCTTTCAGACTTTACAGCTTTAGGTTCAACTAGAATGTGTCATTACCCAGGAAAAAAACTTTTTTGATTGTCTTATTCTGTGCAGGAACCATATGACACCATGTGACCACAGTGACCTACCAGTAGAATGATTTTGCCTATTTATCATTTCTTTTATAACATATAAAACCTTTTCATTTGGTTTATACATGCCATTTTAATAGCATTACACATGAACGCTCTTTCAAAGGCCACCAGACACTTTGTGCCATGCAGCGCCGTGTAACATCATATAGCAGTGGGAACGCCGCTAAACTTCACTTTTACACTCACCTTGTATACACTGTTATAAATGAAGGTTCTGTGCAGGTACATTTTTCATTCATCAAGGTACAAACAATGTACATTTACCCTTAAAGGCACATCAGTGGTTTTTCCCAGGTGAAAAGTACATATTTGTACCTTTTCATAACCTAAGGTTTTAAAACAGAACAATAAAATAAAAAGTCTGGAGCCGAGACGGGTGTGTGGAGTCAATACGACCTAGAAAATATCATTTCAATGGATTATGGTACAAGTATGTTCTTTGACTAAAGGTATCCTTGATATGTATCCTTTAGGGTACCACCACAGTGACAAGAGGGGTACTGCCCCAGTGACAGTTTCGTACCTTTTTTTTGAGTGTACATTTAATGACTTATCTCATTTTATATAAATTTACTATCTCTTCACAAACTTGCTGTTTTGGAGCCTAAAGATACAAGGTGAAACAGGACTAGGCTGTGATGTTAGCTGAGGTAACACACAATTAGCAGTTGTCTGTCTATATCTACAAGACTGACTTTGTTTGTGTAAATTTTAATTTTAATTTTAACATCTGATCTGCTGTAGCTATCTGTGGTCTATATATGGTATAATTTAACGTAGTAATGGCAAAATGCTGAGTGGCACAAAATAATGTCGGCGACAGTGTGTGTACTTTCATTAAAAACAATGGTTTACAATCACTGGATGCATCCAGTTTGCAGTGGCCTTTGGGCATTTACATTTTACAAAGTTTCTGTTTAAAATGCTACCGTGTCACAGCCCCTTAGAGGGTGATGTGGGCTCTAGCCAACAA